TGCATGGAGAACACAGGAGAAAGCTTAATATGGTGGGCAAAGAGCTAGTAGCAGGTGAGCTGCAGTTAAGTTCACCGAGTGGAGCAACATGATGCATTTTAATATGTCCTCACTCCATTTCTGTGGTGCATGAATTTGCTATGACTCTAATGCTCTATCCTAAATTATTAAATACACAAATATGTTTTTAGAGACCAAGATTATGTTAGACACTGGGCTCAGAAGACTGGATAGTTGACTTTACTGGCTTTGACTGGGGTAGAATTAATTTTCTTCACAGCATCTGGTATGGGGCTATATTTTGGATTTGTGCTGGGAACAGTGTTGCTACCACAGGAATGTTTCAGTTACTGCTGAGCAGAGCTTACACAGAGTCAAGGCCCTTTCTGCTCCTCAGCCCACCCCACCAGTGAGAAGGCTGTGGGTGCACACGAGTTGGGAGGGGATGCAACTGGGACAGCTGACCCAAGGGATATTCCATACCATATGGTGTCATGCTCAGCTGAGAGAAGAAGGAGGAAGAGGGGATGTTCAGAATTATGGCATTTAGCTTCCTAAGTAACTGTCAGGGTGACAGAGCCCTGCTTTCCTGGAGATGGCTGAACACCTACTGTGAATTCCTTTTGCTTATACACACATCTTTTCCTTTACCTATTAAATTGTCTTTATCTCAACCCATGAGTTTTCTCACTTTTACTCTTCAGATTCACTTCCCATTCCCACTGGGGAGGAAATGAATGAGCATCTGTGTGGGGCTGAACTGACTAGTGGAGTTAAGACATAACATTGGCTTAAAAGATTTTTCTCTTTGGTCTGACGTGAGGTTGGGATTACACTCGGAGAAAGATAATTGAATGTGATTTCTTCATGGAGCAGGCAGGGAACTGTACCATTTCAGATGAAAGAGTAAATAACTGTTGGAAACATTAACAACTGTGCCCACCTTGATTATTGTATGTTTCTGCATGTGGCTTGTCCTTTCTTCCTTCCTGAGGATGATGTGGACCAAAACTTTCCCTCTCTCAACCTGCTTGTGTCACCAGGTGATTTCATGATGTGGTACAGCAACATTGCCAGGTTCAGTGTCAGTGTTATGGCACAACAAAAAAGTCTTCTGCTTCATCTCTGGCACTCCTTTTACCAGCTTTCACTTTTAGATATATCTGAACTGTTCCTCAAATGACCTCTTGTTAGGACTGTTTAATTCTACTGTGTCTTCCTGTGTCATGTAAACTTTTTTGAAAACTAGAATTTTAATAAGCACAAGAAAGACACAGCTGTATGATAAAGCTTTCATTAGAGGATTCCTTAATAGAACCCACTTCCAGTCCTTGATTGCATAATCAACAGCTAATGAAATTGTCTTGGTAACAAGAGCTACGGTGTATTACATCCTCTCCTGAGACTAAGTGGAAAGACAATTGTACCAGCCTGAGAGGACTATTGATTGTTCACAGTTTGAATTTGATTGCCCTTATGGGGAGCTAAACAAGAGATCATCTTCAGCTCTGCTAAATGGATTTTTTTTTCCACTGAATGTTACTGGTTCACTTTCATACAAGGCATTTGGGGGACAATAAACAGGGGGAGCATAGTCTTATAACAGATTTCCTGAGTTTGTGAGTTTTGAAACATCAATCACTGTGAAACAAATGATGGCTGATTAGTTCAGATCCTCTGTGATGTGTCTGTGTGTTTAAGCCATGTCGGAGCTTTGAAGGGATGCCCTGGCCCACTGTGTGTTGCTTGTCTTCTTGCAGGAGGGAATCCCAAAGGGAAGTTTGCTCTGGGTCTAGTTCAGAATGAGTGGAAGGTTTATGTTAAAAGGCCTCTCGATCGGGAAGAGCAAGACATTTATTATCTGAACATCACTGCCACAGATGGCCTCTTTGTAACCCAAGCTGCTGTGGAAGTGACCGTCACTGATGTTAATGACAATAATCCAGTTTGTGAACAGGTGAGTTAGCAACACCCACAGCACTCAACTGCTGTGCTGAAAGCAGTGGTTTCCCTATGGGTGTACCTTACTGTTTACAGGTATTCATAGATCATGCCAATTTTCATCCTTATGGTCTTAGTTGAATTTGCAGTGATCTGGGAGAGGATCAAGATAAAGCATTCCTGTGAAGCAGAGGTTGAAGGATAATGGTTTCATAAAGCTGGCCTCATAAAGGAGTCTCATACACAGTGGCCTTAGTTTACTTGAGAAAAAATTAGTTGTGAGGTGGCATTGGGCAGCCACTCCTGCCCTGCAGAAAAAAATGTGCTCTCCCTTCACAACCCATGTGGAAACGTCTTCAGTGTAGTTTAACTCCAGCTTTCCTGAACCTTTCAGATGCCAGAGAGCCAGTGGAAAAGGCAGAAGAATGTAGCATGCTCTCTTGTTGTCAGGCTTGCATGGAGTGTGGCCTGACCACAGCTTTCAGAGTGCTAGCTCTCTCTCTGTGGAAAGGCAATATGGGAAACTGATGTTAGTGAAATAAAAAGGTTTGTGTGAAAGCAAAGACTTTATAAACCCCATAGTTCGTTAATGGTACTGCTCACAAAATAAAATAAAACATGTATGTGTATATTCATATATTTCCCATCATTATATTATCACTGATGGACTGTTGTCATTGCAAGAACCACTCTGGGGAATCACAGTCTGTATTTCCCTCAAAACTGCTGGTTGAGGTGATAAAAACAGTTTTTTCCATTAGCGCATTCATCAAAACTTTCATTTCATGGGTGCTGATGGAACAAACAGAAGATAGAAAATGGTATTGCTTTGAACACCTAAAATGAGCCCTGTTTAGAGCCATAATTTGGCGTTGTTTCTGTGACACCTCAAAGCTTAGCAGTGATTTGAATTTCTAGGAATGTGTTGCATAAAGGAAAATTGTTTCCTGTATAGAAAGATGCACGAGTTTACAAATGCACTGTTTTCTACTAGGTGCACTATTTACAGATAGTTAAAATAAACTGTAAAATACTGTTACAGCATGGCTTACATTTCTGTTTTTGTCTCTAGGTTTCATACACAGCACTGTTTCCTGAAGACATTCCATCAAATAAAGTCATTCTTAAAATCAGTGCTAAAGATGCTGACATTGGGTCCAATGGTGAAATTCGCTATTCTCTTTATGGTGCTGGGAACAATAAATTTTTCTTAGATCCAGAAAATGGTAAGATGACAACTGAATGTTTCTGAATAGCTTTAATCCCTTGACAGCTGTGGGTGCTGGTTTCCTTAACTAGAGTTAGGTTACACTTGACCAGCAGCCAGTTGTTCCAGTTATGGCAGGTGTGGATGATCACTTGAAGTGGTGGTGGTGGTAGCAGGGAGAAAAAGGGACATCTTTGTTCGCCAGGTTGGATGCTATAACCAGAACAGTTCATACCAACCCTTTTGTTTCCATGCAGACCTCAAGTTAGGTCAGAGATGTATCACTTTTTTGGGTAAAGGGGAGGGAAAAGTGACACTGCTGTGAGTTTTTAATCCATTCATGGGAATAAGCAAGGCTGGGTTTTTTTTCTCTTTCCTATTCCTGTGAAACACATGTTTTTGAGACATGCTATCCAGAATTAATGATGTCGCTGCAATAGTAGTGATGGTTACTGCTTTTAATCCATTTTAGGTGAACTGAAATCCTTGGCCCCTCTCGACCGAGAGAAAATCCCTGCATACAACTTGATTGCCCGAGCCACTGATGGTGGTGGCAGGTTTTGCCAATCAGAAGTCCATCTTATTTTAGAAGATGTTAATGATAATCCACCAGTCTTTTCATCTGATCACTACACTGCGTGTGTCTATGAGAACACAGCCACTAAAGCTTTGTTAACAAGAGTCCAAGCCACTGATCCTGATGTTGGTAAGTGGGTAACATTGCAAACAATAATTAATGTTCAGGAAAACTCTGTGGGTTGGTGTAATTACAATTTTTCTATTTCTTCCTTTCTTTATTTTTCCCTCCTTTTGCTTCTTCATCCTCCCCGTTTTTCTCTCTTCTGTTTCTTTACATCAAAATGCTCATGGCTGAGCTTGACATAATGGTGTTACAAACAGAAAAGCATTGCAGCAACCACAGAAACACAGTCTTTTATGTTCATGATCAGAAATAGCTATGTTTAGGGGTAGGTAGATGATCATCTTGGGGGTAAATTTCAACGTTCTTCCTCCAGTGGTTTCACCTCTTTTCTTGAGCCATTCATCTATTTCTGCAAATAATATAGTTACATGCCATAGGTACCTATATCTGATTAATCACAGCTTTTCTAGAATTTTATGCTGCTAGGGCTTCCATTTATTCCAGCTAGTTACTTTAGAATAAAAGTATTGTACACTGTGAAAGTATATTATAAGTGTTCTGGTTATTTAACTGCACATTCTTTGATAGTGTAACAGTTTATTATTTGAGAACCTTAACCTTGAAATCTGGGCCCAATTATAAATATTTAAAGAGTTTTTTTTGCATTACACAGTGGTAAAACCTACTGAATAACAGATTTTTTTTTTAGGCCATTTGCTTGAGTTTTAATAAATAAATCCCATAGTTTATTGTTTTCTTTCTGTTTCAGAGATGTTTTGTGAAAACTGTGGGTTTAGTAGTTTCACATAAAAAGCAGAACTTTCATTCAATGAAAAAATATTTCATGTTAAATTGTTATGTTTTTTTTTAAGTACAGCACATGCTGGAAGTCTCAGTTGTTACTGAGCCTGATAGTGTGAATGTACATGAATCAGTAAAGGAGCAGCAAGTATTCATTAATGTATCTGTGAAGAGCTGCATTATATGCCTTGGTTGAAAAATCATAATTAAAATTATGATACTGTCCTGCAGTGAAAAGCCAATTACTGGTAGAAAACTACTGAACCGTCTGAAGAGCCAGTGTTGTGTTTTCCACTGTTGTCTTAATTACCATTTTTCTTGTAGGTGAGATGACACTCAAGGAGAGAGGGGACACAGAAAGAATTAGAATAAAAAGTTGTCAATAAGAGTTCTTGCTAGCACCAGCCTTACATAATAAGATGATTAGCAATGAAAAATTCTATTTGCTGTATCTTCCTTCTGAAACTAGAGAGGTTAAAGGGAGGCATGTGTGTGATGAATGAGAAGGGGCTATATACTTTCTTACTTTTCTTTTTTCTTCTCATGAGCAGAACAATCTTGAGGTTTATTAATCAGTTCTGAAAAAAACATCCAGCTAGTTTGGGGGTGGAGAGATTTGAATGATGAGCCTGGATTTCTGTTCTTTGTTATCAGTATTTGAAAGTTTAGTACTCGGGTGGGTGTGAGAGAAAAAAAATGGGTGTTGAAAGCCTAATTCAGGGAGGTAGGATAAGATTTGGGACTCTCCCACAGATATGTTTATACAACCAGGTTATACTGGTCAATTGTGGTTGAATTTGGTTGCTTTTTTAAAACAGTTGTATAGAGTTAAATATTATTTGGGCCAAGAATTACGACGATTCTCTAGTCATCTGATTAGTGTATTTGTGTTTAATCTGGAGAGTTTAAATCAGTCAAGTCTCTAATCAGTCTGATTCTTGGTTTGGGGAGCTAATTATTCACCTTTTCGCACAAAGTGGAATTGCTGCAGCAGAAGGGACTCAGCTCTTCTGGGGAAGCAATTTGACCTTCTCATTAGGAGACATCTGCTTTGTAACTCCAGACTTCTTCACCAAGAAGTGTAGGAGTGAGCAGCTGGGGAAACTGGTGAACTGGGAGAAGGAGTGCCATTTTATTTCAGCTTCTGATGGAAAGTTTTATCTTGGATTTCAAAGAAATCTGTGACAAAACTGATATTTTTCCTGCAAGGTTTGACCTCACTGATTTTGTTGTTTCAATAAAGACTTGTTCAAAAAAGCCCAAACCCAGACCCTTACCATGTGTGCTCATAAGGCAGGTGCACAAGAAATAAGAAATGTCTTTTCTAGGGAAGAATATGACTCCTCCTTTAGGTTTCAGTCAGTCCAGTCTGGAGTGTACTTACCTCCAAGTGGGTGGGGAAGCAAGCGTGTTTTCTTTTTCTTCCTGTCCTCTCCTTGTGTCAATGAGAAAAATGAAGAAACCATTAAAACTATAAAAATGAAATATCTATCAGAAATAACTACTGAGGAACATGGATAGTTTTTCTCTGAAGCCTATCTCTTGTTTTTAGAAAGTGATGTAAAAGTGCACAGAAGAAAAGCACTGGGTTAGGTTGGTCAGTGGGCCACCACTTTCAAGAACACGTGCATGAAAGTAGAGCTTCAAGCTGATCAGTCGTGGGCTTTGCTCTTGAAGGAATTAGGGCAACTGAGCCTCTTGTATGTGCAGCTGCCTTAGAGCTGGGCTTGGGAAAGGGTAAAGTGCTGCCAGATGAGATTGCAGAAGTGTCAGAGGGAAGTGCAAGAGAGTCACAGCTCGATTAAAAGGGCAGTTCTCTGAATTATGTATAATGGTGCATAATAAAGTAATAGAAATGCTTACTTAGATACTGATTTTGGCATTTTCTGGGAAAGCTGGTATACAGCAAACCTCTACTTTGCATTTTTGTTTATGTTTGGCATGTCCCTTTAAATAGATCTAGAAACCTTTGGGGCATTCAGGATCTTAAAAATAAGAAAGCAGAGATTGAAACATGAATAAGAAGAATAACAGAGATAATAGGGTAGAAGATCTACTAAAACCCCACAGTTAATAGGTAGTTAACTTTGGCAGTGATGCCAGCTAGATGGCATTTCTGGATATTGTCTGAGTTTTTAAAATAAATATTACAAGATACTTTCCAGAGGACAACTCATTCTCTTTAAAACATACACAGTGCTTCCTATATCTTTATCCACATCTTTGCCTCACTGACTTTTAAAATAGTACCAGGGTTGTGCACTAATGCAAAATATGAAAGGCCTGAACTATTAATTCCTTTTTCTCTAGCAATTCAAAACAGCTAAGTAAGTAAGTAAGTAAACTGCATATCTATGTCTATATCTGTGTCTATCAGGGGTATAGTTGCAGTGGGGGGCCTTTCCACAATCACTGAAGCTGTTTTCAAAAAGAATTCAGAAATCAGCCACAGAGGAAAAACAAAACCAGCAATAACAAAAATAAAACCCACCAAAACAAACAAACTAAAGAACCAAAACCAACAAAAACCCAACCAAAAGACATGAGTGAGCATTGCTCTGTAGCCTGGTGGCTGATTTGGTACTGGGCTTGGTTCCTCAGAGCTTATTCAATGAAAAGTAATAGTCCATGACTATGTACCCTTGTACTCCTCCTTCCTGGAAAGGTGTCCTTACCATTAGCCTTGTGTCAGGTCTTCCATAAGGGGAGAGAAGAGGCAATGCCCCACATTCCCCAGTTGGCTGGCCAGTCCTGAGGGCACATGTAGGTCCAAGTTCACCCAGTGAGTGTTTCAGGAGAAAACCTAACTTTTCCCTTCCTAATAAAGACAGAAGCACTAACAGGAATGCAGAGATACAGCACATTGTACCCCTGAAAAGTTGCTAAATAAATGTAAGAGTCAGGTTCTGTAGGGTTTAGGCTTACCTTATGTTACAAGGTAAACAAACAACGTGTTTGGGGATTCTGATAGAAAACGTAGGTTTCTGTCTTTCATATTGTTGAATTTGCTTTCCATGCCTAGGCACTCAGGAGACCTAATCCTGTAAGTAGTCAGTCCATATGACCCTGTTGTTGAATCTTTCAAAGGGCCAGATTTTTAAAGCTGCAGATAGGTAGCCAGGGGAGCACAGTCACCCAACTTGCATTGAAAGTGTGAGCATATGTCTATGAAGATGACTAAAAGTTAGTCTGTGTTCAACACACAGGAGTCATCAAACCAATCTTATTTTGTTCTGCAACATATGAAGAGGCCATATAGAAATAGGTATTACAGGTGTTATGGCTTAGATTTAGTGAGTTTTTTTACATTGTACTGCATGTTTTTGTAAGTAAGCTAGGGAAACATGGTCTACACAAAACTGTTATCAGGTGAGTTTGTAATAACTGTTACACTGGAGGGATAAGTTCAGAAAACTATTGGGTGAGGCATTGCTCTTATTTTCATTCCTGAATGGATAAGTAGACATAAGGACTGTACTGCTAAATGTCAGAAAGCAGAATGGTGCTGCAAGTACCCTGGCTAGTGTCAAAGTCACAGTTGTGGGATTTAGCAGTTCGAAAAGTGGTGTGGAAAAACACAATGCAAGTTATCAAGATAAATGTGACATCCTGTGTTTAGGTAAGAATAACCAAGTGCACTGGTATTGTCTGGGTAATGATTGACTGGGCAGCAGAAGTGCAGAGAGGCAGCTGTATTAATGTGAATCACAGGCTGAATTTATGTTTACACTTTCAGATGGGTGTGAGAAGGCAAATACTTTAATGAGATGGGTAAGCAAGAGTAATGCTGGAAAACAGAATTAGTTCTTTCTTTTACTTGGTATTGGTAAATCCTGACCTGAAAGGCTGTGTTGTTTTGGGTACAGCACTTCCATGAAGATGTGGGCTACCTGCAGTTTTACAAGAAAGATCACAAGTCTGGGAAAAAAGTCAAGAAATATTAAAATGGTTGAGACAGTCTGACAGGGAAAAGAGAACTGAGATGATAAAGTCTAACAGTCTTCAGTTATCAGACAAGTAGCTCTGAGGAAAAAAGTCAACCTTTGTTCTTTTTTCCCCCTTGCCTTTTATTAATTTTATTCAATCTCAGCTAAAAGTCAGAACAAGAGTTTTAGTTGTAAGAAACGTTAGACACTGTGGTGTGTTATTCAGGGTTATGGAAGTTCATGATCAAAGGATAAGCATGTATTTGGGGATAAATTGCATCCAACTGTTCTTTGTACAGGGATAAATTAGATGACCTCACAAGATTTTGGCTTTCTTTATGCTC